AAGCTGAACTCGTATCACTTTCGACAGCACCTCTTGCCATTTGAGGTAGACACTGCATATATTCACGACAAGTTTTTTTATACGAGTTGAATATTTTCTCAAGAGCACATCTTTTCTTGCTTACTTCATGGTATGCTGCCTTTGTGGACATCATACTGTCTATCTCAGTGTAGACTCTGGTAAGATGACCGCCATATGAAGCTGTCGATTTCTTCAAACGATGTATCTTATCAAGTTGCATACTGGCTCGGTCCAGGTAGAATAACGTGTCCCTATTTTGTGAATATTCAGACTCATTTCCCTGTCTTGCACGTGTTTATGATCTAGGATATGACATTCACAGCACGATATTCACTTGACTGACAGCAGTATTACCAGTATGTACAAGGTATGAAGGCAACACAAAATTATGATCTTCAGCGAAGGTTAAACGAAAACTATGTAGGCATCACAAGCTCCCACAGGTATTACAGTCTCTTACACAACCAACTAGTAACGCGTACTCTGGTTATATCGTATATTTATTCCATATGGTCAATCGTTACGGAATCAGAACGGGTTAGTACATCTCCAGAATATGGTTCTAAAATATACAAAACAAAATAGGGAAACTATAAATATTCGAAGTAAATCAAACAATTCTTATCATAAAATGTACAGTAAATTTAAATATACATTTCTCTTAATATGTGCGGAAAGTCGAGCGATACAACCAATAAATATACGGCAAATAAAATATGTAATAATAAATAACAATGCTAACTGTGAAATATTTGTCAACCATTTTGACAAGCCAAAGCACACATTGCATACCATGTGCTCTATTAAACGTGCAGCTGACCACATGTACGCAATGTGTTTGTTTGGGTAAAAAAAATGGGTGGCAAATAGTATAAATAACAAAACAATTTTCAAGAAATAAGTCTTAACGAATACTAACATTTACAGACTTGCAATAATAACCCAAAGTAAGAGTGATAAAATCGGAGTTCATACGAGTACTCAAACTTGTAACAAATCACTGCCAATAATTTCATGCTGATGAAGCCAACAATGAAAAGAAAACCTTCCTTACCTCGTTTAGTGGCACCTTCCCGGACCGGTGTACAAATGTTAGCAAACCTAGCAAAAGTTTCAGAAAACCCAACGCGGCAGGGCAATTCAGAGCAGACACAGAGACGTCTTCACTCTTCAGAAGCACATGCTGAACTGAAGACAACAGCCTGCCTAGCCCAGAGTTCACCACAGGTCAAACAAGTGAAACAAAGGAATCTAACTATGTAATCAATAACCAATCAGAGGGAAGGTTTGCACAACTTACACACCGCCCCCGAAAGGCGCACGTCACGAGGAGCCTTTCTAACATTAAAGTTGCAGAACCGACAACTAAATGAATCATGTACATGAAAAGAAAAAAAATCATTGTTCTGTTCAACAAAGGTTCATTGTTCTATTTTCTTCTTGTGATGTAGTCTATTACTACGACGTGGCATCGAATGGGCACAACCATCTACTTGTTCATGTATTTCCTTGGTGTCTTCTGCACTGATCTCTGCTGCTCGAGTTACTCCATCTTGTCTTTTCATCACAGTCTTATGGTCCATGTTGCCTTCCAATAAACAGAGCTTGTGCACATCTCTCTGTAAACATCCAGTGGAAGTCTTCACAAGAACGTGACGAGTTGTACTAAATCGATCAGTAAAGGTCTGTTCGACTTTCCCCAAAGGCCATTCACCTCGAGGAATATTTTCATTGACAACAAGTACCAAATCACCAATGGATAGGTTCCTTTTCGGCCTGCACCATTTCTGCTTTTCTTGTAGAGTTGGCAAGTACTCGCGTACCCACCGTTTCCAAAACTCAGTTGCAAGATGTTGAGTTTCGGTTCTTCTTCTGTGATGACCATTTTCTTCTATGATTTCACTCACCGACGTACAAGGATTTGAGCGTAGCAAAAGTAAATCGTTTGGTGTGAGTGGTTCAAGGTCATCTGGATCATCAGATAAATGTGTTAGTGGTCGATTATTAAGAATCTTCTCCACTTCTGTAGTGAATGTGAGTAGCGTTTCATCATCCACTAACCTGTTTCCTAATAAAGATCGAAGAATCTTTCTTATCAAACGAATCATCCGTTCCCAGACTCCACCTGCATGACTTGCTGCTGGTGGATTAAAATGCCATTGAATATTTCTTCTGCTAAGTTTACCGTTAATACAAGCTTGGTTCCATTTAGCAAGCATCTGTTTCAGCTCAGTCTCGGCTCCCCGGAAATTGGTACCATTATCACTGTAGAGATGTGTAGGTGGTCCACGCTGACTAATAAATCTCCACACAGATTGTATAAAGGAATCTGCGGATAAATCATGGGCCACTTTGATATGAACAGCCCGAATGGCCATCAGGTGAACACGCATCCATATCGTTTAATGGTACCTCTTCTGTACTTAACATACAGCGGTCCAAAATAATCTATCCCGACATGGGAGAATGGTGGCTCACCTGGCGTCACTCTTGCTGCAGGAAGTGGAGCCATTTTTTGATTCCCGGGTTGTGCATTCCATCGACGACACTTAATACACCTACCAATCACACGCTTTACAGTAGCTAGTCCATGAACAATCCAGAACTGCTGTCGTATCTCTGACAATACTTGGTTTGGGCCAACATGTCCTTGTTGTTCATGGTAATGTTGAACGATCAACTCAGTCACATGATGATTGCGAGGTAATATAATTGGATGTCTAGCTTGCTGACTAATGGGTGCGTTCACCAGTCGTCCTCCGACGTGTAGGACTCCATTTTCTAATTTAGGGTTTAACTTTCGCAGTGGACTGACATAACCTTCAGAATCGGGTTTCTCACTTGGAATCTTTTGCGGTGAAGCAAACTCTCTTGGAAATGAACTTCGTTGGACAATTCTGCAAATGTCAGTGGTAGCAATGGAAAGTTCAAGAACTGTTAACGGGCCTATTTTCAATAAGGCAGATCTTCTCAAGTACATCTTAAACCAGATGAGCCATGCTACACTCGCTCGTAATTTATTGATGGAGCAAACAACTCCAAACATCTGTACCCATTGTATTGCACTGGGTAATAGTTGTTGCTTGGACCTTTCTTCTCAGCTCTTTGTCGTCACGATCAATTTCTGGTAGGTCAGTAGGTTGGCCTGGCCATTCTGATTCAGGTTGCCATAGAAATGCTGCACCATGGAACCATGTGGTTATTGCTGCCTCATTAGAACCATCCAATTTTATTCCTCGTGATGCATGGTCTGCTGGATTGAACTCCGAACTGACGTGGTACCATTGTGATGGAGATGAAGCATCGTGAATAATCTGGAGGCGGTTAGAGACAAAGGTTTGGAATCGTGTTGCCATGTTGCGAATATATTGGATGACTATTGTTGAATCTGTCCAAAATAGGGTTCTCTGGATTGGGAGTTGAATTTCATCTTGAATTTGTCTGCTGACCTTAACTGCAACTGTAGCTGCTGTTAGTTCAAGCCTCGGCACTGTCGTGGCTTTGAGCGGAGTGACCCTGGACTTTCCCATCAGCAAACTGCAATGAATTCTACCATTTGTATCTATCAGCCGCAGGTAAGATGCAACCCCATAACCTCCTAAGGAGGCATCAGAGAAATTATGGAGTTCCACTGTTTGTATTTGACTGAAACCAGTTGGTTTGTAGCATCTAGGTATAGCTAGTGTCATCAAAGTAGGTAGTTTTTTCCTCCATTCTCTCCAATTCGACAGTTGATCTTCTGGTACCTTTTCATCCCATCCATATCCAACACGACATAATTCTTGTAAGATTCGTTTTGCTGGTAAAACAAAGGAGGCAGCGAATCCAAGTGGGCCGTAGACTGAAGCCACGAAGGATAACATCTCCCTGCGTGTCTCTTTTTTCAGTCTGTCGCCAATTCTGAAGTTAAAGGCATCCTTTTCAACATCCCATTGAATGCCAAGAGCTCTGTCAATCGGCAAGTTCTCCATATCTAGATTCATCACTGAGGAAGCACGCTCAGCTTCTGGGATCAGTGCTAGGATTTCCCAACAGTTGGATATCCATTTTGTTAGATGTAAACCTCCTTTACCTAACATTTCAGGCAACAGTTTCACCAGTTCCTTGGCTTCTTCAACACTAGCAACAGACTTCAGACAATCAACGTAGAAGTTTCTATAAACAGTATCCACAATACGAGTGTCATAATTACTTCTGTTGTCATCTGCAGTTCTCTTCAGAGCATATGCTGCACAGCTTGGTGAAGATGTGGCACCAAATGGATGCACCAACATTTGATGATCGGCTGGATCTTTAGATAAATCTCCTTCCGGCCACCATAAGAATCTTAGTGCATCGCAGTCCGCCTTCTTCACCTTAACTTGATGGAACATTTGCTTGATGTCAGCGACAATGGCAACTGGCTCTTTTCGAAATTGAAGAAGTACTCCCACAAGGGTATTTAGATCAGGACCTTGCAGAAGCTGATCATTAAGAGATGTGCCTTGGTATTTGGCAGCGCAGTCAAAAACAACTCTCACCTTCTCTGGTTTATTCGAGTGGATTACTGGATGATGAGGTAAATACCAAGTAGAGCCAGACTTCGTTGCTGATGAATCCACATTGGTCATTCTTCTTGCATGACCCTGGGAGATGTAACCATCCAATGTGTCTTTATATTTCTTCATAAGAGCAGGATCTTTCAATAGACGCCTCTTCAGTAGCTTCAACCTCTTTAGAGCAGACCATTTGTTGTTGGGTAAGCAGGGATCATCATATCGCCAAGGAAGAGCCAGCTGGTAGTGACCCTCCATCAGACAAACTGAACTGTCCATGATCGCCTTTGCTCTTCTATCTTCCAGCAACATACATGCCTTGGTATCAAACAAGGACTCTGAAATCTGCATTGTACATGTGATGAAGCTGAGAAGTTATAGGTTCGAGACACTGAATTGGGAAATCAGAGTCCAAGACTTGGTCAACATTAATAAAATTGATGCTGTTACCTCCACGCTTCTTTCTGCCCATTGGTCCAATGAATGTCCAACCAAGTAGTGTTTGAATACCATATGGTTGCTTCCTTTCACCACGACGCTCCTCAAGAACCCAATGTGCCTTGGGGACATCGTTCCCAATGAGGAGAGTATCGTCTTTAACTTCTATCTCTGGCAATTCTATATCATTCAGGTGAGACCATCCTTTTATATCCAACTTGGTCGGAATACTGTCAGCTGCTATCGGTAATCTATCCGTTGTCCAAACTTTATCCAGTCGCACACCATTGACCAAATTTAGACCTCTTACATCCATCTGTAATTCATTACCATTAATCTGCCTCTCTGCATTCAGTGTGGACAATGTGTAATTTGACAGGTTTACCTGTAATGCCTAATTTATCAGCAAGGCTGTAAAGACAGATAGACGAATCAGAACCACTGTCGAGAAATGCATAGGTTTCAATCTCTTGGCCTCCATCTACCCCACTAACACGAACAGGAATCACCTGCAAACTTATGCGTGGTTGATTGGTTTGTGTAGCACTACATTGCGCCTTGCTTCCAATGACATTACTATGTCTCTCATTTTGAGCTGTGGCGGGAGCTTTCAGATTACTATTGCTGAATGTCTTGGGAGTTGCAGATGTTTGATATGCTGAGTTCGATGTTGCAGGATGAAGCAAAGGATGATGTCTTTTACCACAGCCTATGATAGGGCAAATACGGCCACTTCTACAATTCCTAGCCAAGTGAGGAGGTCTTGCTTCTAGGCAACAGTCACAGAGCCTGTGTTCCCTGATGAAGTCTTTTCTCTCTTGGAATGGTTTGAACGTAAATTTTCGACAATGTTCAAATGCATGGCTACCACTGCAAAACATACAACCTCTCCTGCCATTACCTTCCATCATGGAAGTATCATCAGCACCAACATCATTGGAGGCAAACTTGGAAGGAAGATTTATGGGAGGTGTGTCAGCTACATGTGTAGCCAATATAGTAGCTTTACTTGGCTTTTGTCTTGATCTGGCATTTGAATCTTTTTCTCCATCAGGCTTACATCCTACCAATTTACCAAATCTTGTATTTGCAATTGCTGATCTGTTCTCCAGAAAGTGGGTAAGGTGCAGGAATTCAGGTTCAGTGCCCACACTGATCAACTTGCCAGCTTGGTTGGCCCAATCTGATTGCAAGTATGATGGTAACCGCCTAACCACCTTTTCCAGGGTATCCATTGAATTGATGTCAGCATGGAAATTCATTTGCTCTGAACTGAGGTGGCAATTCTTCACATCACGAGCCAATTTCTGCAGCTTATCCACTTCATATGCCTTTATCTGAGGTCCTTTCACCACTTTGTCAATTGTAGCATGCACTATGACGTGTTTCTGACCAAAGCTTGTTGAAAGGATCTTCCGGGCTTCTGTATATCCTCGCTCTGGAGGGAGAATTACACAGCTTCTGATTGCTTCCTTAGCTGCACCCGTGCAGATATGATAGTTTGACATTATCATCCTTGACTAATTGTTCTATGTTCACCTCAAAGTTTTTGATAAAGGTTGGATATGCGACCGGGTCACCATCGAAGGTATGAAACTCGTGTTTTGGTAGACTCAAGTTAATGGCTAATGCTTTGGTAGTCTCCAGCTGATTCTGTACAATGCATTCCATTGTCTTCTGTTGACTTTCTAACAGTTTCTGTAATTGGAACGTTTCAGAGAGAGCAGCACCATTACTTGACTTCTTCGGGGTCATCTGCTTCCCTATAGGCCCTCCTCTGTTATCATGATATTGTTCGTTGGTACCATGTGCATTATCAACGAAGTTTGTATGTTGTGGACTTGATGCCCCTGTAGTCCTGAATTGACTATTGGCTGGACTACACGATGGTATATACGATTGGAAATAATTGCTCATCATTTCTTGTTGGGTCTGCCTCTGCAAACCAGGGAGTATATCAGACTTCTGGTCAGATTCAATTTCTTCATCTATAAAGTCTACTTCTACCTTAGCTTGTCTTACCCGATTTTGAGCTTGCATAATTTCCATTTCTGCTTCCTGCTGCTCCCTCTCTTGACGCATCTGAAGCAGACGTTTTTCTGTTTCTTCTCGAAGCTGCAACTCTTTTATGCGTTGCTTTATCTGTTTTTCAACTTTGAGTTGGTCTAACTCACAACGGGCTAAAGCGAGTTTTCTCCTTGCTTCCCTAGACACACGACTTGTCTTTGTATTGGAGTTAGAACCTATTCTACCATCCTCAGTATCCACATCCAAAAATTCTCTTGCCAGTATCCCATGGATTTGTCTTGTTTTCTTGTGGGAGTCGAGGCCAAGACGAAGTGTGTGAATCAACCGAAGCATTTGGCTCTGGTTAGATTTGGCATGTGGACTTTCCTTTCCAAGAGATATCCATGTTCCAATGTGTCTTCCATTTAGTCGTCAATCCTTTCCTTTGGGCCAGGAGACTCCATTGTTTGGAATACCCATTCTCTGTGTCTCCGATCAAAATACTCCTTTCTTTCAAGCTCAACCTCGTATTCACTTTCGACAGCACCTCTTGCCATTGGAGGTAGACACTGCATATATTCACGACAAGTTTTTTTATACGAGTTGAATATTTTCTCAAGTGCACATCTTTTCTTGCTTACTTCATGGTATGCTGCTTTTGTGGACATCATACTGTCTATCTCAGTGTAGACTCTGGTAAGATGACCGCCATATGAAGCTGTTGATTTCTTCAAACGATGTATCTTATCAAGTTGCATACTGGCTCGGTGTCCCTATTTTGCGAATATCTTTGATTCAGACTCATTTCCCTGTCTTGCACGGGTTTATGATCTAGGATATGACATTCACAGCACGATATTCACTTGACTGACAGCAGTATTACCAGTATGTACAAGTTATGTAGGCAACAGAAAATTATGATCTTCAGCGAAGGTTAAACGAGAACTATGTAGGCATCACAAGCTCCCACAGGTATTACAGTCTCTTACACCACCAACTAGAAACGCGTACTCTGGTTATATCGTATATTTATTCCATATGGTCAATCGTTACGGAATCAGAACAGGTTAGTAAATCTCCAGAATATGGTTCTAAAATATACAAAACAAAATAGGGAAACTATAAATATTTGAAGTAAATCAAACAATTCTTATCATAAAATGTCCAGTAAATTTAAATATACATTTCTCTTAATATGTGCAGAAAGTCGAGCGATACAACCAATAAATATACGGCAAATAAAATATGTAACAATAAATAACAATGCTAACTGTGAAATATTTGTCAACCATTTTGACAAGCCAAAGCACACATTGCATACCATGTGCTCTATTAAACGTGCAGCTGACCACATGTACGCAATGTGTTTGTTTGGGTAAAAAAAATGGGTGGCAAATAGTATAAATAACAAAACAATTTTCAAGAAATAAGTCTTAACGAATACTAACATTTACAGACTTGCAATAATAACCCAAAGTAAGAGTGATAAAATCGGAGTTCATACGAGTACTCAAACTTGTAACAAATCACTGCCAATAATTTCATGCTGATGAAGCCAACAATGAAAAGAAAACCTTCCTTACCTCGTTTAGTGGCACCTTCCCGGACCGGTGTACAAATGTTAGCAAACCTAGCAAAAGTTTCAGAAAACCCAACGCGGCAGGGCAATTCAGAGCAGACACAGAGACGTCTTCATTCTTCAGAAGCACATGCTGAACTGAAGACAACAGCCTGCCTAGCCCAGAGTTCACCACAGGTCAAACAGGTGAAACAAAGGAATCTAACTATGTAATCAATAACCAATCAGAGGGGAGGTTTGCACAACTTACACACCGCCCCCGAAAGGCGCACGTCACGAGGAGCCTTTCTAACTTTAAAGTTGCAGAACCGACAACTAAATGAATCATGTACATGAAAAGATAAAAAAAATCATTGTTCTGTTCAACAAAGGTTCATTGTTCTATTTTCTTCTTGTGATGTAGTCTTTTACTACGACGTGGCATCGAATGGGCACAACCATCTACTTGTTCATGTATTTCCTTGGTGTCTTCTGCACCGATCTCTGCTGCTCGAGTTACTCCATCTTGTCTTTTCATCACAGTCTTATGGTCCATGTTGCCTTCCAATAAACAGAGCTTGTGCACATCTCTCTGTAAACATCCAGTGGAAGTCTTCACAAGAACGTGACGAGTTGTACTCAATCGATCAGTAAAGGTCTGTTCGACTTTCCCCAAAGGCCATTCACCTCGAGGAATATTTTCATTGACAACAAGTACCAAATCACCAATGGATAGGTTCCTTTTCGGCCTGCACCATTTCTGCCTTTCTTGTAGAGTTGGCAAGTACTCGCGTACCCACCGTTTCCAAAACTCAGTTGCAAGATGTTGAGTTTCGGTTCTTCTTCTGTGATGACCATTTTCTTCTATGATTTCACTCACCGACGTACAAGGATTTGAGCGTAGCAAAAGTAAATCGTTTGGTGTGAGTGGTTCAAGGTCATCTGGATCATCAGATAAATGTGTTAGTGGTCGATTATTAAGAATCTTCTCCACTTCTGTAGTGAATGTGAGTAGCGTTTCATCATCCACTAACCTGTTTCCTAATAAAGATCGAAAAATCTTTCTTATCGAACGAATCATCCGTTCCCAGACTCCACCTGCATGACTTGCTGCTGGTGGATTAAAATGCCATTGAATATTTCTTCTGCTAAGTTTACCGTTAATACAAGCTTGGTTCCATTTAGCAAGCATCTGTTTCAGCTCAGTCTCGGCTCCCCGGAAATTGGTACCATTATCACTGTAGAGATGTGTAGGTGGTCCACGCTGACTAATAAATCTCCACACAGATTGTATAAAGGAATCTGTGGATAAATCATGGGCCACTTCGATATGAACAGCCCGAATGGCCAGGCAGGTGAACACGCATCCATATCGTTTAATGGTACCTCTTCTGTACTTAACATACAGCGGTCCAAAATAATCTATCCCGACATGGGAGAATGGTGGCTCACCTGGCGTCACTCTTGCTGCAGGAAGTGGAGCCATTTTTTGATTCCCGGGTTGTGCATTCCATCGACGACACTTAATACACCTACCAATCACATGCTGTACAGTAGCTAGTCCATGAACAATCCAGAACTGCTGTCGTATCTCTGACAATACTTGGTTTGGGCCAACATGTCCTTGTTGTTCATGGTAATGTTGAACGATCAACTCAGTCACATGATGATTGCGAGGTAATATAATTGGATGTCTAGCTTGCTGACTAATGGGTGCGTTCACCAGTCGTCCTCCGACGTGTAGGACTCCATTTTCTAATTTAGGGTTTAACTTTCGCAGTGGACTGACATAACCTTCAGAATCGGGTTTCTCACTCAGAACCTTTTGCGGTGAAGCAAACTCTCTTGGAAATGAACTTCGTTGGACAATTCTGCAAATGTCAGTGGTAGCAATGGAAAGTTCAAGAACTGTTAACGGGCCTATTTTCAATAAGGCAGATCTTCTCAAGTACATCTTAAACCGGATGAGCCATGCTACACTCACTCGTAATTTATTGATGGAGCAAACGACTCCAAACATCTGTACCCATTGTATTGCACTGGGTAATAGTTGTTGCTTGGACCTTTCTTCTCAGCACTTTGTCGTCACGATCAATTTCTGGTAGGTCAGTAGGTTGGCCTGGCCATTCTGATTCAGGTTGCCATAGAAATGCTGCACCATGGAACCATGTGGTTATTGCTGCCTCATTAGAACCATCCAATTTTATTCCTCGTGATGCATGGTCTGCTGGATTGAACTCCGAACTGACGTGGTACCATTGTGATGGAGATGAAGCATCGTGAATAATCTGGAGGCGGTTAGAGATAAAGGTTTGGAATCGTGTTGCCATGTTGCGAATATATTGGATGACTATTGTTGAATCTGTCCAAAATAGGGTTCTCTGGATTGGGAGTTGAATTTCATCTTGAATTTGTCTGCTGACCTTAACTGCAACTGTAGCTGTTGTTAGTTCAAGCCTCGGCACTGTCGTGGCTTTGAGTGGAGTGACCCTGGACTTTCCCATCAGCAAACTGCAATGAATTCTACCATTTGTATCTATCAGCCGCAGGTAAGATGCAACCCCAAAACCTCCTAAGGAGGCATCAGAGAAATTATGGAGTTCCACTGTTTGTATTTGACTGAAACCAGTTGGTTTGTAGCATCTAGGTATAGCTAGTGTCATCAAAGTAGGTAGTTTTTTCCTCCATTCTCTCCAATTCGACAGTTGATCTTCTGGTACCTTTTCATCCCATCCATATCCAACACGACATAATTCTTGTAAGATTCGTTTTGCCAGTAAAACAAAGGGGGCAGCGAATCCAAGTGGGCCGTAGACTGAAGCCACGAAGGATAACATCTCCCTGTGTGTCTCTTTTTTCAGTCTGTCGCCAATTCTGAAGTTAAAGGCATCCTTTTCAACATCCCATTGAATGCCAAGAGCTCTGTCAATCGGCAAGTTCTCCATATCTAGATTCATCACTGAGGAAGCACGCTCAGCTTCTGGGATCAGTGCTAGGATTTCCCAACAGTTGGATATCCATTTTGTTAGATGTAAACCTCCTTTACCTAACATTTCAGGCAACAGTTTCACCAGTTCCTTGGCTTCTTCAACACTAGCAACAGACTTCAGACAATCATCGACGTAGAAGTTTCTATACAACAGTATTCACAATACGAGTGTCATAATTACTTCTGTGTCATCTGC